AAAATTTGTTTTAGAAATGCGCCTTACTATAATTTAAGTACAGTTATAAGCAAGTTACAGTTTACAGGGCAGTGAGGGGCAAGGAAGAGTCCGCAGCGACACAAGCAACTCCAATACTGTTAAAAAGGGAATTTTAATCATAAACTTTACATCTTCAATTTTATACCTCATTACTTTTATTCCCACGCTGTATTTACTAAATACAATTTCATGTACAGTCAATATTTAATGACATCATTATTTCCATCTTCCTTGCACTTGGGCTGGATTTTGCTTTTGATTATGTAACAGGTCACTGGACTTGTCAAATTTGACACTTTCTGCTTTTTTTTTCTATTTAAACAACTATTTCCATCCCTGTTATATTTAATAGCTGTATATCTTTGTCCAAAAAAACCAACGTTCACAGAGAATCAGTAGAAAGGATTAAGTGAAAGTGACAAAGGTATTTGTACACAAAAGTTCATTATTTAGACATTTATAGTAGACCATAATTGCTGACTAGAAAATGATTGCAGATAAGATGATTGCAACTGAAAGTTATAAAAAGTCTCTGCTGAGCACATGACCTTGGAGTAATCAATGTACATTAGATATAATTATCGGCTGAGTTAACAGGGGAAAAACAAAAGCCAGTCTGTGCTAAGTGTATGCCAGCTGCGGTACGGAACAGCTCCTCTTTTAAAAAGATGAGGATGGCCGATGTAATCCAAGTGTGTTCATACAAAGCCGCCTGATCTCTCTTTTATGCACACTCACAAACCACCATCAGCGAACAGAACATTACACCAAGTGACGAGACCCCCGTGTGTATATCATACACCTTTAAATTATCTAGTCCAGCGTGGCTCCCACACATGGCATTTTAAAATACATTCATCTGCCAAAATGCACAGGGTACACCATTAAGCTCCCGTTCTCCCACGTATACAAATTCTTATCTCTTAGGCTGTATGAAAGCATAGCAAGGACAGACTGCGAGGACCGTAACTCAAACCTCACATCAATCTGCTTCTCCTTCAATAAATCGAAAGCAAAACTTACTGTCATATCCTTAGTGTCAGTAACATACACAATGCCACACGCTATGAATGCATTACCGGCCTTCGACTTAGGATAGGTAGTATTGATATGCCGAATGACTGAAAATGTTTCTTCATCGACATGTGCTACTATTATATTTTCATCGGTGCTTGAGGCATATATAATCCAAAGACCCTTCTCGTCCACTGCTACGTTGAAATACGTCTTTGAGTTAGCAAAGAGGTAGTTACGACCGTGATACAAGGCATTTTCAATTAGCAGCGTGCCCAGCGATGCTTTATCAAGCCCAAATCTGAAATGAGATAAAGTAAGTAATCGGTACGTTGTGTTAAAAAGTCATTTTTATACGCACTGGTTGGGTGAATCAATTCAGAGCGCATTGCTACAGATAGAAGCATTGTTGAAAATACTTGAGTTCAAGGACCATTCTGATGATCGATGGAGATTAAGTACTCCACTCAAAGCACCTTCCAAAACACTAGGAGAAAATTCCAAAGTAATAACCAACCTAAAAGATGCACAAAAGCATGAACTCGCTTTGGTAGACTTCACTTTATTTAGTCTATGTTCTTTATTATCACTAGGATGAAAGAAGCAACTAAAAGGAACGGATATGAAAAAGAACTAGATACCAGGTGAAGGCCCAAACTTGTGAAATGAAATCTGTACAGAAGTTTGCTTTCCACTAGGTGGGAACTAAAGGGAGAAAATGTGATTGACCAAACCAGCACAAATTCTGGGCAGGTTCACCTAGTCTTAGAGTTCCTCTTTTGAGAACAGTTCAGATAATGCAGTGATTTGCTCAAGTAAACATCAAAGCAATATAAATTCTACTTTTGCAGAGCCAAAATTCTGACCTCTTGCTGGCCTCCAAAAGGACAGCCTGAATGTCTCATCTCTGATCTGTTAAATTGTTTTTATTCCTTGAAATTCCTTAATAGGATGATAATCTGAGGACAGCAGCATTGAACAGCTAAACTGAGTTCCTCTACTAGTTTCCGAGGGTAATCAGCTACTACCAAGACACATTTGCAGTTAGCATTTAATCCCTGAATAATGCAGAGCTTTAGCAAAGGCAGATTATCCTTAATGCTTTATCCTTTTAAGTAACGCCTTCTGTAACGAAGCACATTTCATGTCTGACTTCTAGCTATAACTCCGTTCCTCAAATAGAGGAAAAACATTACTCAATACATGAATCTGCTACAGTTACTAAAGTTTTCTGAAAAGACAGGCTTAACAACAGGAACGTTTCAGATCCAGGAACTTACAAAAGAAGGAAAAATACAGGAAGAATAATTTTTTTTTCTGTAGAAGAGGCGTCGATAACAAATACTAGAAAAATGATCCTAAGAAAAGTCAAGAATGACTAAGTAGATGATTGTCCTCAGCTTTTGTAAAACTCATGTCTGCAGCAACTCCATATTCCAGCAGCATGTATGTGCAACAAAAAAAAGCCTTCAAGGCTGGAGAAGATTTCTGAGAAACATGTGTGTCAACCCAGTTCATCTTGTTAGTTGCTTCACATTTGTAAATAACCTCATGCAAGGGCAAGGGCTAGGAGGACAGCCCTTAGCAGGAATAGTCACCTAGAAATGCAGATTGTCTTCAGGATTTTTTCTATAAAGAGCCAACAAGATAAAAAGCATCTCAAGATTCATTAGAAACAAGCAAGATCTGCAAACACAGAACACCCTGTCTTTTCCTCTTTTATGTGAAAATCCTGAAGGGAGCAGAAAAGAAGTTTCATTCCTGAGGTTCTCTTCTGCCCCCCCAGTCAAGGGTAGTCTAGCCTAGAACTCCAAATGGTTCAGAATTCCTTAATCTTCTGACACCTTGGGGTAAATGACAAGATATAGTGTAATATTTGCATCAACTGCAGGGAACTCAAGCCACAAACACTTTTCTGATCGCCACGATGAATGAATTCAGACAAAGATAAGAGACACAGGAAAGCATGTTATGAAACAAAGGAGGAAAGGATGAAGCAATCGTATTGTCAGGGATCTGACCATCACAAGAAAACCTGTCAAAGGCAAACAAACCTAGTTTTATCAGCTTTTAAATATGACAGGAAACTCCTTTTAAATTTTTTTTCAACATTTGCAAAATGAAACAAGCAGGTCCTCCCCTGTTCTTTCCATTAAATCAATACAAAAACTCCCAGAAGCTTTTCTGCAGCCCAAATTCAAGGACTTCACTGTCACAGAACTCAACACTGCTTCATTCTATCTGCGCTGAAGGTAAATAGTCTTGGAGTGAACAAGTGAACAGAAAGGCCATCTCTCAGCAACTTCTTAGAGACGTTTTGAAAATTCCACAAATAGCTTGTGTTCACCTGCATGTGAAGGCATTTCCCGATTAACAGTACCCAAGCAAAGGTGAGGAACCTCTGCCTAATCACTGTATGTTGCTTAGACAGAGATGGTCTTTTACAGATGTATAAACAAAAAGCCCTAAAGAAATTTAAAGGAGGTTGCCAAAAAGCGGGCTTGTCTTTGGCAGAATAAATATTATAGAATCCAATCATCTTGCCCACATTCCTTGGCATCCAAATGAATACAGGAAGGCGGCACTCACACCTGCTTGGGAACAGACATCAAAGTACAGTAATGTTCTTGGCTCAAACATCAGAGTCATGTAAGAGAACTTGAAAGCAGATGCAATCTTCCATTTGCCCTTGGACTCACTGTCTTTGGCTCCTCCCAAAAGATGAGATTTTATTTTCTTATTTGTATTGTCTGTCTCTGTCCTCAGTAGAAGCTGAAGAAAGAGAGATGTAATTCCCAGTTCCAATTCAGGGAGATACACTGGGAGAGTTGTAGGATCTTCTTATTAAGAAGAAATCAAACAGTGGAGCTACTCCTCCACAATGGAATGTGCACTCCACCAGGTCGCCACGTCCTCAGCTGGTGCCTTAGAGCATTCCTTTGCACTAGCGGCATTAACTCAGCCCCTGCCAGCTAAGAACAGTGCTATCCGAGAGCAAAGCACGTGCAGCAACCCAGCAAGCAGCTCTGGAAAGCCACATTCCACAAGTGGGCTACGATCCTATAGTCGCTCATCTGCGTCCCCCAAACTGCATCTGAACCAGCTTTTTTTTTTTTTAGTTCAAATACTTTTTTCTGACCCCCAAATTCCTTAGTTCCCACTTCTTTCTCACAACTACGAACACAGCAAAGAATCCAAACGCAAGAACACCCACAGCAATGTAATGGACCATAGAAACCCGCTGGACCCCAGCAAAGCCAAACGACAAATCTGCTGTCACCTCTGCTTAGTCTTGTTAATCTGGAGACCCAGTTGTCCTGCATGTAGTAACTGCTCAGGTTAACCACTTAGAGCTGAACAATGCTTCAAGAACTGACTGTCACAGCAGAGTAATGGACCCAGACTACCCGCCCAGTTCCTCTCCTCCCACAGCATCTGCACACACCAGTGGCCCACAATCTAGTTACAGACTGGAAAGAATTAGTTGTTCTGTTCTGGAAAGAATTCTGAACCACTCCTCCATTCTTCCTATTCTAGACAGGACCAAAAAGAAACATAAAATGGTACAAGGAAAGTGGTCTGCTTTTCTGAGGTGCACCTCTGTCAGTCTAAACAATTGCTCCTCCTTCCACAACGTCACTTGCCTTAAGCCAACTATGTTTGACTTACTTCAGAATGACACTGGTTCCTCCCTTTTGATAGTACAGATGATTGTTTTGTACTGCATGGCCGCATCCATGAAAGAATCCTGTGATGTTAATGATCCTGTAGCTGTCATTCAGCAAGGCATTAGAATTCTCATATTCTTTTATAGAGTTTCCTAAACGAAGGGGAAAACATGAAAAAAAAAGGACTATCATTTGGTTCATCTAGTTTTGAAATCTCTACCCTGAAATTCAATCTCTACTGAAGTTCAATCTCAATCAAATATCTGACAGACAACAATTGTATTCGTGTTTTCAGTAATGATTCAACTTGCTGGAACGTGACAAAATAATCCAGAGACAAACAAAAAAAAAAATCTGTAGAGGTGGCGTTCAAAGGCCTGCTGCCCACAGACCTGATGGGCCCTAATTCTGAACACAGTTGGTAAATATACAGAGAACACTTCCTTTTTCCACTTCGGTCGTGGAAATTTTCCTGCTCATGCACCATCTGATTCATTTTCATGCCTAGCTAAATGAAAAGGCAAAACTCCTAGCTGCAATTTAGGGAAGTAAAGCCATAGGAAACTGTTGAAAGAAAAGAATAAAAAGACATGAACAACAGGCATTTAAACTTGGATTGGTTAAAAAAAAAAAAACAAAAACAAAATCCTCAAACTATTTTCAAAATCTGATGTTGACTCTGAAAGTGTCTAAAGATACTACAAATGTCTATAACCATATGTACAGTCAAGTATTACACAAGTAAAACAGAAAATATTCTGAAAAACATATGGGTAAAAACCCCATCAATCTTAATTAGAAATATTAGCTTAGGTTGAAGGAATTAAGAAAAGCATGTTAGTATAACAACTGGTTTTTGATCAGTGACTACTTACTAGCGTACCTGAAAAATGCATGGTAAGCCAAATCCTTTCATCACTTATATTTGCAGGTTCCCGCATCCAAGTTCCAAAAGTTTGCTGGACACTGACAAAGTGAACAGGGCTTCCTACAGATGTTATGACACATTCTAGTAGAGACAAAGCACATGTCCATGATCTGTGACATTAAAACAGTAAGTAGCAGTTAGTCACGCTCCATAGCAGGTTACCAGGTTTTTTTGAAGGACCAGGGGCTCTGTCTTCAGCTTTTCCAGCCAGGGTATCATCATTCGGTACAACACATGTCTCACCTAGAGCTGAGAGAGAAAGGGTAAGGGTAAAACATGTCATTTTTCTGTATTTGACATGAGAGATGTGCACATCAGCGACTCCACTAACATAAAAGAATGACAACTGGGATTTTTGTTTGTTTCATCTGGGAAAGACCAGTTTAGGTTGGTCTAGTCAAAAAATGAGATGGAAAAAGACTGGCTCTTGCTTCTGCTACGGAAACGAAGTGTTCAGGCTGGTTTGTTTCCTTAAAGTTGCCAGGCTGACAGTCAACTTCCAGGATTAATTAATTTTGCTTAACAGATTTAATTCCTTAGCTGAGAATTCCTGAGCAGCTGCTTAGAAAGACAGAGTTGCCCCTTTTGTTAGACAACTGAGATGGCTGGCAGCTGGCTGATTTAGCAGTAATACCAAAAGTGCTTTCTTGGGAATGAGTGATGGCTTCATGCCCAAGTCTATATACACCAGCAGAGGAGGTGTATTCTGTAGGCAGTAAGTTTTGCTTGTGCTGTTAATGCCCGAGACAGTAATAAAGTACTAACAGATACACTGAGCATAAGAATGCAGGTCAGTCATCCACGCCATTAAAAGAAGCAACAAAAAAGACTACAGGACATTATACACTGTATTCCTTACACACATAGAAATGGTTCACCTTAGAAACAAATAAAACACCTGGAAACATTTTTCCCCACCCCTCAACAATTTAAAGAGCAACTGGCTGGGTTTTCTCTTAGCATTTACTGTTGAAACAATGCCTGAATGAAACTATTTATGGACCTTTTTCTATAAACCCAGATAATATCTCTTCTGCCTTTAAAACAATGCAATACATTTCAGTTTGGTTAGAATGAATAACCACAGAGAACAGTTCTCAGCTCTTTGCTGAAGATAGCCCGACTTCATTGTAGTCCTCTTTTCTAATTCCATTCTTAACTTTCATCTTAAACATTTCACACTGCTTGACATGCAGGTTGCAAATTCTTTTGGACATGCATTTTCATTGTTGCCTTCCAATATATTTCTGGGATTTGCAGGGCTGTGATGAAGTTTAGATAAGAAAGACAGTAAAAATATGAAGTAACTATAAAGTAATGCTGAAAGGGTACTGTGACATTCAGGAAAGAAAGGACAGATTATACTGGATCGTTGTTTTTTCTCCTTTAGCTTATATCCTCTCTTTGTTCATACAGAAGGAAACTACTCCAAGATAGAGCAAGAACAACACATATTTCTCCCACTCATTTATCTAGGACACTGGGTGACATGACATTGAAAGTTTGTAAGTGATCACAGCCTGTCTCCAAAATAAGGCACAGACAGGCAATCCAACCATGGGAAGATGAATGCCTATAGCCAGAATCTAGCAATCCCTCTAGATCCCTTTTTAGCTTCTGATCTCAAAAAATTGTCAAAATATCTCAAGAAAGGAACCCACTCAGCGGAAATTGTAAGTTGCAATGCACAAGTTAATTTTCTTGGACTGGGTCTAACAGATACAGTTAACTGAATGAGCAGTTCCCTATACAGTAGTTTACCTGAGACTACAGAGAGTCAAGGCCCAGATCAGCGTTTGTACTGAAGCTGAGTGCACTATTTGCATTAGAGAATATTTGCAATACTCTCTGAGGACTTTCAGCTGCATGAAACAGAAAGCACCTAAGATCAAAAAAACCGTTTTCAATCAGAGACTCTTATGTGAAATTTTCACTGCTTTATTTCCATCAAAAAAAAAGATAAATATCCTACTGATTCCTATCATAAAATATAGTGTCTGAGAGTTAATGGAGTTTGCAAGACATTAAGACTATTGATTTGGTCTGTCTCTGGAGGGTGGGAAGGATGGAGCAAGGGAACACGGAGCAGGGTTGTTTCGTTTCTTTTAGAATCAGCTGACAGTACCATTGAAACAAATGCACCAGAGCTTCCAACTAATTATTCACTTCTCTTAAAGAAATAAAGTTTGACCTGATTCAAAATTTAATATAAAGTAACCAGTCCCTATTCTTATGTAATAAGTTAATTACAGTTGTAAATCAGCCTGTGTATTCTCTCTTCTTCAAAAGGATATGAATGTTTAATTACAAAAGCTGTTTTATTCTTCAGATTTTGGTAATGAGATCTCACAGCCTACTGACTCATAAAACATAAACGCTCATTGAGGAAGATCTCATCTTTGCAGAGTTATTTGAGTATAACTCCCATCTGCACTGGGATTTAAAATCCATCAGAAATCCATCAGATAGTTTATTTTCCAAAGCACTTCGGTCTGTTTTAACACTTGAAAAGAGACTACCTGAGTAAATGGTCCAACTGTATCTTGTACAACAGCCCACACATTTCTGACTCAAATACGATGAGATTTTTGCTTGTGGCGCTGTGCTTACACACACACACACACACTCTTTTGTGCTTAAGCAAAGCCAGCAGTGGTGGTCGTGATGGCCGCATCTGGCTTAAGCTGGACACTGGGGAGACAGATAACAACACAACAGCTAAGGGCCATGAATCCTGCTCAACAGCTGAGGGCCAGCTGAGCATGAGCCAACTGAAATACGGCTGGTGTGCAAATATGACTATAAGTCAACCATCTTACTCCATAAATAGTGGACAGCCCTGGGCCCATTGAGCTCTCCTGCACAGCAGTCAGCTGCATGCCAGGATCTCCCCTTGAGTAGGGATGCCTCTCCAGGTTCCTCCTTGAGGCTGAGAGAATCCTTATCACGTCAGATACTCAGTAAGTGAACTGCGAATAACAGTGCTGAAACTTTGAAATCTTAGCCAAGTGATATAAAGGATTGATTGCACATGTATAATCCTTTAGACATAAACCGTTGACCAAGTCTGGGACTAAGTCTGGATCCAGCCACATGTAAACTCCCCTCTGAGAAGGAGAATAGAGAGCAAGGGATCGTTTCTAAACCTCATGACTCAAGAGGAAGGTCTCCCTAACTGTTTTGCCTGTCCCCGTCCTCTATGCAGTAAATACAGAAATGTACCTTGCCATTGAATCTTGTCAAACCACTGCCACGCTTTGTTAACTCACTGTCTGGTATCAATAAAATATATTGTTGCCTCTCTGCTGTAAATGAAGTGCATCACTCCACCCGTGACACCGCTCCAGCTGTCCTACGTTCCATTGTAAGGAGGCTCTTTGGGATCTGTTCCGATACTTCAATACTCAGAATCTACTGATTGAGGTTCTCACTTGCTAGCACAATTACATGCTATATTAAAAATAAGAGGCATAAATAATTTATATATGTTCCACCCAGTACTAAATATTCACTGGTTAATAGCATTTATAATAATAATTTAAAAAAGATTTTTCATCTCAGCAAACTGTGCAGAAAGATGGTGACATAAAAACATATCGCCCTATTAATGGTGAGACATACAAATTGCTCTGCTTGTTTCACACTTAGCAACTGCACAAAGTTCTTGTGCTATTCCCTTTCAGTATGCCTATCAAGAAACTACATTCCCAACTACAAGAGAAAACCCACTTCTCCAGACACCGTCACAAATAACTCTCTTCTTTTCCAGAAAGGTGAAAGATTAGTAACTGAGACATCCTTTGCTATTCTCTTATAGGATCACTCCAACCTCCCTGAAAACAGGCATCTCAGCTGGGAGGAAAATTCACCCCAGAACTCTAAGGGTAGCAACAGTCACCGAAAGCTGCAACCACCTCGAATGCAACACCACCCAGGGTAAAGGACAGGGACGGACAGGTCCAGTATGTCGATCCTAAACCAAAAGTTTGCTTGCATTCTCAAGCTGGACTAAGCTAGAAATACAATGCTGTTCTTGCACCAGCTTCTCCTTGCTTTTCACAATCAGCTAGTACCTTGAACCAAAATTTTCCAGTTACCACAATACCAGACTGTTTGTAGAACCCATGTTCCTCAGCATCCAAATCACCAGCTCCTCTTATCTTCTGCTGCTAATTCTGCACTGGCCACAAAAAAAAAGGCTCTCCTCTTCCAGTATGTAGAAATGAATTGAAATGAAAGTCTCAAAACCAGATTTTTTTAATTTTTTTTTTTGAGAGAGAGTGTTTTCAGGAATGTAGGATAACATTTTTGGCCAAAATTTTCAGAAGTCCAGCAACTTCAGACATCCATCTTGATGTAATTTTAAAACATAGCTGCTGATTTTCACAACAAAATGAGTAAGAACATCCTGTATTTCCAAACATCAGCCTTCCCACTTGCACCCATTCCCCCTACTCACGTGTGCCTGGCACTGAAAAACATTAGAAAAATCAAACCCTTATTTAATACTTCTAATTCAAAACAGAATTGTTTAGACATTAGAGACATCAAAAATCACAGAGATTACATTTTCTTTTCAATGTTGCTGAAAATAAAGTTGATCACAGAAGTTGCAAATATTTTTGTAGAAAGTCTCAATGTCCCTGTTAACCTCTTAGAAGCTATTCCCACTCAAACATGCAAAAAGAAATTCAAGCCTATCTGAAAAATCCAGGTTAAAATTAGATTTTTTCTATCATAAATATCTGTAAAAACATAGTAAGAAATGTGTTTACTGTAGAAGGAGTTTAGAATATTAACATAGTCTTTGGTATCATGTTGACAGAAACACTTTCTTCCACAAAGTACTTAGCCGTTATTAAGATATTTAAATCCATATAAACTTCAGGCATGAAAAAATATGCTTAGTACACTGTATCTGTCAATGTATTTATAAAATACACTGTTCAAGACAGCAGAGTACTTCCAACCAGTCACCTGCTGGAGATGACACAGGCCAACTAACTTTCTCTGTACGTGTTCCACACAGCAAAGGCAGCGCTTTACTCATAAAAATTACACACACATGGGCACACACACACGTGGATTTTATCTGAGGCACAATTTCAATCTATTTGAGAAAAAGATCTTATAGAACATGGATAGAAGTTGTGACATGAAACACTGACGTGATTTTTCAACAACCCACAGTATCAAGTTAAATCCATGAGCATTTACTACTACCCAGCAAACCTGAAAATCGTGCCAGAGATATCCCATGGCAAACTGCTAATTACGTCAGCACCCTAACTGGTGACTTAAAAACCAAGTGTAACAGCTGTCAGGCTTCAGCATACAGTCTATAACCTGGCAGTCTAGATACTCATATTTTGGTTCTAACAGTACCTGCTGTGCAATTTGCAGCCACACTTTGAAAGAAATCTACTCTTTCATTTTTCCTTTCTGAATATTAGAATTAGCCATATGTCTCACCAACCCAGCTACAGTAAAGGAAATAAAAGGGACTCAGGAGCCACCTGTCATTCAGGATACAATAATGATAAACAGCAACAATGGAAAAGTACTCAAGATCACCCTGCTCCAAAACTTACATATTGAAATAGACAAGAAGTCTCAGTGCATCCTTTTGTATTTCACCAGCTTTTAAGTCTTAGCTAGTCCAAGCTTGCTTCAGTTCTGACAATGACCCAGCAATTTAATTTTGCAGAATACAGTGAAACGTAGCCTGGTTAACAGGTGTTATATTTACAAGTGAAATTAAAATTCAGCATTTAAAAGCTAAAAACTTCAATTCTCTTAACTTTCCAAATATACCCCATCTAACAGAAAACACCATGTGTAAATACTTCGCCTGAGCATTAGCATAGCACAATTAAAAGACTAATATTATACTGGAGAGAGCTTGCTGCCTTAACCAAACCATATTTCAGCAAAACACCTAAGTACATGTTTGCCTTTAATTTTGTGCAGTTTTACTGATGCCAGCAAATTTTAACACACGCTTAATATTTTGTGAGACTCGAGCAAACGGGTTTAACCTTGAACCTGTTTAGAATACTAAAAAGAACACAAAAAAAAAAGTTAGAAAAAGAACTAACAGGTTAGAAAAGGAACAAACCTGTGCGTTTGCTGCTGCATGTGTTCTCCTGAAGCTGTGCTTTACCTTTACCTTTACGTTTCCCTGGAGGCCCTGCGGGTCCAGGTGGTCCAGGGGGCCCTGGCGGTCCAGGTTCACCTTTTGCACCTATGTACAAAACACAGCACAATGTCACAGGCCCTGTAGGCAACAGGCAACCTGCCGAGAACTGTATGTGTCCACCTGATGGACTCTGGGAGATCTCTGAAACAGCCTCTCTTTCTCCTTAAGAGGTTTCTGCGTACAAAAATACGGTGCAATAAACTCACTGGGCTGCTGTTAGAAGGTGCACCATACAAAACTTCACGAGTTGTAGGACATCAGTGCAATTTATCTGTCTGGATTACAGGCACATTATAAAGCACCGTTGCCTTTTACTTACTGTATTCTAAGACCTCAACTTCAGCTGCTACAGTGTTATAATTTTACACAGCTTGTATTTGTGGCTGCTGCATGTATTCCTGAGCGGAAATCTGCCCTCATTTTCTAACAGAAAAATAAAACTACACTGCAAGAAAGAACAGGAGGAGGTCAACTGCCTGGAAGTGTACTGGAAAGGGTGGAATTCATGTGCACCTCAACCCAAAGCCCAAGCAGTAAAAGTTTTTTGTGAAGACTTGCATTAAAGAGAGAACATAATCTCCTGGGCAGAGCAGTATTGAAACTTCACTGTGGATAACATGGGTTTGCTGGTTGGTCCTACTCTTGCAGATCACATTCATGCTTCACAGCATACCTTTTTCTGCAAATATACTGTTGCAAGAGACCTCCTAAGAGCACTTCTTCCTACCTTCTAATATCACATCATTGTTTGCATCCCCCTTTTCACCCTTTGCTCCTCTTGCACCTTTTCCTCCTGGCATACCATCCTTGCCAGGTAAACCCATTTCTCCAGGTTCTCCTTTCTGTCCTTGATCACCTTTTGGTCCTGGCACACCTAGAAATAAAAAGCATTTCAGTATCAAGAACCCTGTTCCAGTATTAAGCATCAATCAATACATTTTTTTAATACAAAACATATTCACTCTAGCTGGTTTCTTCACCTGTATTTAACTGTGTAGCTGTAATATGTTCCAATTTCAAAACAATGTTGTAACCTAATATGAAGGGAAACTGTGTACAATCCGTTTGGTGCAACTAATACATTCTTTACTTTGTGATCTCTGAGTTTTGAACATGAAGTATACAGACCTGGGCCTCATTAACACTGGATGGAGAATTTCTAGGTAAGTAGAAATACTAAGGGAAGATGTTGCCAACCACGTCCTGCGCTGCATCAAGAGAAGTGTGGGCAGCAGGTCAAGGGAGGTGATTCTCCTCCTCTACTCTGCCATCATGAGACCCCACCTGGGGTACTGCATCCAGCTCTGGAGCCCCCAACGCAAGAAAGACACAGAGCTGTAGGAGCGAGTCCAGAGGAGGGCTACCAAGATGATCAGGGGGCTGGAGCACCTCCCCTGTGAGGACAGGCTGAGAGAGTTGGGGTTGTTCAGCCTGGAAAGGAGAAGGCTCCTGGGAGGCCTTGTAGCTGCCTTCCAGTACCTGAAGGAGGCCTGCAAGAAGGCTGGGGAGGGGCTTTTTACAAGGGCCTGCAGTGGTAGGATGAGGGGTGATGGTTGGAAGCTGGGAGAGGGCAGGTTTAGGCTAGATACAAGGAAAAAGTTCTTCACTGTGAGGGTGGTGAGACACTGGCACAGGTTGCCCAGAGCAGCTGTGGCTGGCCCCTCCCCGGCAAGGGGGACA